ATAGAAAACTTTGAATCAATCTGACTGGATGATCTGGTGAACTGGAAAGCGACCTGAGATGACATGATGTGAATTGGAGCTATAGAAATAGACTGAATAGAATTTTTAGGGCTGAAACAATCAGATTAATTCATCATTGAAATAACCTTCAAATAATTTAGTAATTGATTAAACCTTAAGTGGAATATAGAGACTCTAAAACAGCCTTTAGCTGACAGAGCGACTCACTTAGAGCAGGAATTAAACAAGATATTTTGCATTTAACATAAAAACATCATTTTCTTCTGTTATGCTCTATGCAGAACTCCTCAAGTGGAAAAGTTTTAGTTTCACCTGGTTTAAATTCATAAAAAGTCTTCTTTAAGGAACCTTTGTCAGTCTGATTATTAATTGACAAAAAAAAATAATTGACTTGATTTATCTATTTTTTTTAAATAATCGCTGGTTTCAGACCTAATTTTTGTGCAGCAGATTATTGTTCAATAATCCACCAATTCTTAAACAATATTATGCTCGGCCATTTTGGAAGAGGGACATCGACTGTTATTTTTCTTTTTTTTTTTTCCTTTTCCCTTAAGTGGATGACTGCCCATCTCTGATTAATTAATTAATTTATTTAAATATATGTTTATCAAGTTTTCAAAGTGCAAGATACAAATATCACACACCCAAGTATGAAGCATACATATATTAAAAAAATTATAGTTTAAGAAAAAAAAAATATTCTTGCCAATACAACAATAGTAATAATACAAAAAAAAAAGCTTTCAATGATGGAGGGAAAGAGAAGAGAGACAGGAAGAGAGAAAAGATGGAAAGTTATTAAAGGAACGGTTAGACTGCACTGATTACCATTTACACTTTAGGATGGTACTACAGGTCTATGAAGGCCTGGGTAGCGTGCTAACAAACTGAGAGGCTGTCAGGGTCAAATATGGTCCAGAACCGCCTGCAGATCCTACAGAACTTATTAGAACATCATACCACAGTTTTATTGAATAAATAATCTCAGTAAAATCTCTTAGCCACATCTTAAACCGAGGAACCTTGTCAGGTTTCCACAACCTTAATATTAATTTCTTAGCTATTACCGTTCCATAAACCACAGTCGTTTGTATAGAAATGCTGCATTTCCTGAGAGAGAGAGTCTCCTAACGATGCAATCTGGAGTCTGGAATGGAGATGAACTTATACGCTTCAGAAAACCATTTGAAAATGTTGCACCAATGAGGAAAGAGCTTCGGGAATGACCAGAACAGACGAGTCAAGGAGCCATCAGCAGATTTACATCTGTCACATTTTGGAGATATTGATGGGAATATTCTGTGCAATAGTTGAGTCTGTGAAACAGCTTAAACTGAATAAACTGGTTCTTTACATTAATAGAGCATGATCCAGTCCTCCCAGACCTCCCAGTCTGCAAACCCAGCCTCTCCTCCCATGCAGCCCTCAGAGAGTCTGTGGCTAAATTGATTCCCTCTGCAAAGATGCCAACAAAGCTTAATTCTGGGGATCCCAACATTATTCTGCATAACTTATTTTCTTCTGGGAGAGATACGAAGTTCGAGATATTAATTTGAACATAATTTCTAATTTGCAGATATCTGAAAAAAATCTGTGCCTGTACTTTAGCAAATATTTTAATGTCAGAATTTAATAGAAATAGAACGATATGATGGAAGCTCTGTCTCATCCCTGCTTCCTTATGTAATAATGTTACATTAGCTTCATACATGGTGGGGGGGAATTTCCTGAATCAGAGTGAGCAATCATCCTGCGGAGGAGAGGAGCGTATCTTTTATAGAGCTCAGTTCTTAAACCGTCTGGTCCCGGGGTTTGGCAGTGGAGAATGATTGGATTACATGGAGGATCTCTTCCACAGTGAAGTCTGACCTGCGAGGCTTCAATCAGCCTCAGGAGATTCTCTGAGCCAGTTTGAAATGTTTCCTAATATTCTTTTAAAGACTCATTTATGCTTCTTGGTTCAACTATGATTTTTCCGGCCTTCAACTTAATTTTCTCTATTTCCCTGTTAGCCAGTTAAGCCCTGCAGCTGAGTCAGTCATTTATGAGGCTTATCACTAAGCTCAAAGTGCTTCTGTTTTATTTTAAACAGCTGATCAAGCACCTGCCTGGAGAGGACCGTGTTATATTCATATTTTAGAATAGAATATTTTGTAGAATCAAAGGATTGAGAGAGGACCTGTATTTAGATTCTAAGCATGCAAGTTCAGTTTAAATTTCTGCAAGGCGTTTCCAGTTTTTGTTTTTCAGGAACTTTTCAAAAGATATAATATGTCCCCTGATCACAACTTTAAATGTTTCCCATAAAATAAAGTCAGTTCTTATCATTGGTGTCTCCTCTGATAACAGGGATTAATGAAAGCACCATTCTTATGATTGAGAGTTAGTGAAATTGGAGAGTGGTTTGGGATTAAAATTAAATGATACTTGGAAGATATAACATTAGATATTAATTTAGAATCAAGAAGAAAATAATCTATTCTTGAATAGAATTTATGCATATTTAAAAAAAAAAGGAGTAATCCCTCTCCACTGGATGCTGTAGTCTCCAAACATCAACCAAATTTGTTGAGTGCAGAACCGCAGAGGAGGAGGAGGGAGGCTGTCTTGTTTGGGCTTACCTGTCCAGGTAGGTGTCAAACACACAGTTTAAGTCCCGCCCAGATCATCAAAGTTGGGACCGTATACATTAAGAAGCGTAACATGAAAAGCACATAGATAGGCTGTTAGCAGTATAGATCTGCCATTAGGGTCAGTCCCAGTGGAAAGATGCCTAAAAGGAAATGTTCTACCAATCAGAAATGCCCCCCCTGAAATGTTTGCCCAGCTGCATCTCAATAACCCCTCCTTACCTGGTCTCATCTGGGTTTCCTGGAGGTAAACAATGTCTGCAGATAAGGATTTTAAATAAAAGAATATTTTAGCCCTTTTCAGGACACGCCCCCCAACCCCCTGACATTCCAACCAGTAAAAGTCACGCCAACACCTTGTAATGATGTGTTACGGTACACAGAATTTTATTAGCAGAATGGCTTCAGTGCACTCATGTTAGTCTGACAACATAGCGAAACACATTAAATATTTTATGAACAGCAAAAAAAAAAAAAAAAAAAAAAGCCCCCCTCCCACTTTCCCAAACAAAGTGAGAATAGAAACCCCACATAACCAGACAGACGAAGCGGGGCCGTACGACCATACAAATAACAAGCAAACTCCTAACCTGACTCTGCCAGATGGATTTGNGCATAGAATAGGATCTGGATTAGTGTTTCTTCCTATTATTAAAGTTTAAAGCAGATTTCTGTTCATCAGAGGAATAAGAAGATGAAAAGTTTGCTTTTAGAAGACGGATCCTCTGATTGAACACTTTTAACTGTAATGATCTCTCCAGGTTAAAGCTATTCTACCTGAAGCAAAGCTGTTTGCAATACCGATAACAGGAGATTATGGAACGGAAACCATGCTGGTTGGTTTTCATAGGACCAGCAGAGGAAATGAGTGTTTCAGAGTTCCAAAGAAGTTAAAAAACAATCCACTGGACTTTGTTTTGAAATCCAAAAGAAACGCAGTAGAACATGACGGTGAGAAGATTAAACGCAAAAACATCTCCATCCCACATGTTGCTGGAGTCTCTGAAAAACTCAATCTTCCTGGATGGAAGAGAAACGTCTTCAAACTGGGAAACAAACCAGTGGATTGATTTTTAACTTTTTTTTTGAATGACTATGACCGGGATGACTGAGATCTTCACCTGCAGATTGTTTTGCCAGTAGATCATGTGTTGACTGTACAGATCCATCAGACTGAATGGGGATCTGAGGTCCGTTTGCATAGAACCAGGTTTCTGTGAACACAGCAGCCGTTCTTCACCAACGGCCCCAAATTTCAGGACTAACAGTTGAACAAATGTGACTCCTCCAGTGGTTCCTTTGCTAACGTGTGTCATGGATGTGCTGCAGGTGAGGGACCTCTCTGTGGCGTACCTTCTCGTCGGAGGGACGTATATGTATGTGGGGGTGCTGATCTTTGCTGCCTTTCCCTCGCCGCCTCTCTCCAAAGAATGCATCGAACCAGTAAGATTCAAACCTTTTTTCTTTCACCCTGAACTTCAAACTAAATAAACAGAGAAGTTGAAACATGATAAAAAATAAAAGACTAAAACCCAGACGGACGCTATGACAACAGAGGTCCTGATCTTCTCTGATGTGAAACCAAAGAAGCGGTTCTGTTTTTTTCTAACATCTTGGTTCTGTCCTTCGGTCAGAATTTTAAGGTCCAGATGGGCTGTATTTCCTGGGTTCAGCCTTCCTGTTTATGTTCGTTATTACCATGGATGGATCAGGCAGAACCTTCCCAGACTCTGCACTGCAAAATTTATCTATAAATAAAGCTTGGTTTATATTCGCCGCATCCCACAGGGCACCATGCAGCCGTGGCGCTAGGTGCATGCCTGCTTGTTCCAAATGGGACTATATAAAGTTTTTCTCTCAAATGGTGCAGAAGGTTCCATTGGAACAGTTTGGTTAAATGCAGAGTTGTTCCTGTTGAACAGCAGCCAATTTATCAGCCAAGCTTGGTGGTAAAAACAAAGATTTTCCATCAGTTAAAAATATAAATAAAGTCTGAAACAACCACCTATAGTTTAAAATACACTCAGCACTTATTTAGTAAAACAAAATGTTATTAATCTGTTAAAAAAAAGAAAGGAAAAAAAGGTCTGTATGGGGTTCATGGTGGGGGTGGGGGGGCTGGATATTTCTGATGGCCGCTCACACTGAGCCTGGTTCTGCTGGAGGTTTCTTCCTGTTCAAAGGGAGTTTTTCCTCTCCACTGTCGCTACAAGCATGCTTAGTGTGAGGGATTGCTGAAGAGTCAATGAGTCGATGCAATCAGCTGTTTTTCCTTAGATAGAAAACTTTGAATCAATCTGACTGGATGATCTGGTGAACTGGAAAGTGACCTGAGATGACATGATGTGAATTGGAGCTATAGAAATAAACTGAATAGAATTGTTAGGGCTGAAACAATCAGATTAATTCATGATTGAAATAATCTTCAAATACTTTAGTATTTGATTAAACCTTAAGTGGAATATAGAGACTCTAAAACAGCCTTTAGCTGACAGAGCGACTCACTTAGAGCAGGAATTAAACCAAGATTGTAAAAATATAAATAAACATTTGAATTTAACATAAAAACATCATTTTCTTCTGTCAATCTGCTCTAATCAGAACTCCTCAAGTGGAAAAGTTTTAGTTTCACCTGGTTTAAATTCATAAAACATCTTCTTTAACCTTTGGCAGTCTGATTATTAATTGAAAAAAATAATTAACTTGATTTATCTTTTTTTTTATATAATCGCTGGTTTCAGACCTAATTTTTGTGCAGCAGATTATTCTTCAATAATCCACCAATTCTTAAACAATATTATGCTCGGCCATTTTGGAAGTGGGACATCAGCTATTATTTTTTCTTTTTTTTGCCTTTTCCCTTACGTTGATGACTGCCCCTCTGTGATTTATTTATTTTACTATGTTTATCAACTGCAAGATAAAAATATCACACACCCAAGTATAAAGCATACATATATTAAAAAACTACGGTCTAAGAAAAAAGAAGTATTCTTGCCAATAAAATAATAGTAATAATATTTAAATAACCAGCAAACTCCACCTTTACCCATTTAACAAAATGAGATTATGTTAAAAGCATCAAACCCCCCCCCCTGTGGTTTTTAGAAGTACTGCACCGACATCAACATCATCTATAAAATGGTACAATGATTCTGTGGGCTCATCCACTGCATGACAACCTAACGCACGATTATATTAGATCATATAAATACAATATAAATAAGAGTGTTTTTACTCTTAACCCTGTAATGCCAAATGTATCATATTTGATACATTCGGTTTCTGAAATGTTTTGCATCTGACACCTTTTGCATAATTTAATGGTAAAAACTTTGCTCAAAATCCTGTTGTACACAATCAGTTCTACCTGATAACAGCCAGTAGAAGATTACACAAAAAATAATCTTGACTTATCCCATAGTAATAAATTATCCCTTTAGTCAGGTACAAAAAAACCTATTTAATTACTTACATTTTGGTGTGTTTTTTTTTTTTTTAAGCGGATGGTGATCTGACCTTCAGTTGTTTTTTTTATCCATATAAGTCTTGCTCATGCGTGTCGACTATAGGTATGCTGGTCTGACAGAACCCAGGCGGCTCATTGGGCCCGTCTCTTTCTTCATTCATTCTTCCTCCGTGTTGCAGAACTTCTTGGATAACTTCTCCAGCAGCGACGTGATGGTGTTTGTGGCTCGGATGTGTCTGCTGTTCCAGATGATTACGGTCTACCCTCTCCTGGGTTACCTGCTGCGAGTGCAGATCATGAGCCAGTTGTTTGGAAATCATTATCCCGGGTGAGAGAAAAAAACATGTTTATTCTTCCAGTCTTTGCTATTGGAGGCTAAATGATAAAGTGCAGTAATTTAGCTTAGAGCCTCATGATGTTTGTTTGAAACGTCTGACTGACGTCTGTCTGCTCAGGTCCGCTTCTTAATCTCTGTTTTCCACTCAGCCTCCCTCCTCTGAGCTTTTTTTCTCTGCTTCGTCTGTATTTGATGTTTCTGGTGAAGCTGAACTAGCCTGATAAACCAGACTAAATGTTAGATTAAATGTTTAATCTAGTCTGGCCTCGATGAATGAG